GATGAGGTCTTGCCAAGTTGCCCAGGTGGGTCTCGAACCCGCGGGCTCAGGCAATCCACTCACTTCAGCCTCCCAAAGCCCGGGATTACAGGCTGAGCCACTGAGCCCGGTGGGATTATTTTTTGATTTATTGTAGAGTCGAGGGCTCAACAGGTTGCCCAGGCTGGTCTCGAACTCTTGGCCTCGGGCAATTTTCTCGACTCAGCCTTCCAAACTGCTTGAATTATAGGCGTGAGCCACTGTGCCCAGCCACCTCCATCTTTTCACGTTACTTTTAGCTCTGTGGTTTTGCCTTTTCCTGGAGTATATAAAAGCAGATCTCTGATGTCATGTAATCTTACATTTCTAAAAGATAAGAGCTGTTTCAATAACAATGCCACACCTAATAAAATTAATATTTAGTCATACCTAGTTAATGTTCATATTCCTCCAGTTTCAGAAATGTCTCATGTACGGGTTCAAACAAGATCCACATATATTTGATTTTTGTTTTTTGGTTTTTTTTGAGTTGGAGTCTCATTCTGTCACCCAGACTGGAGTGCAGTGGCCGCTCCTGGACACTGCAGCCTCGACCCACTGGGCTCCGGCAATCCTTCCGCCTCAGCCTTCCGAGTAGTCAGAATTACAGGCACACGCTACCATGCCCGGCTGATTTTTTTGATTTATTGTAGAGATGAGGTCTCGCCAAGTTGCCCAGGCGGGTCTCGCACGGTGAGTCCACTCACCTCAGCCTCCCAAAGCGCGGGATTATAGGCTGAGCCACTGAGCCCAGCTTATTTTTTGTTTTTTTAAGTCTCCTAAATCTGTAGCTGTTTCTGCTATAACGCTTTTCCTTCTATTTATTTGGTTTAGAAACCACATTCTGGATTTGCCTGGTTGCTTCTTTATGTCGTTTAATTTGCTCTTCTGTTTCCTGCATTTCCTAGAGAGTAGAAGTTTAACCTATAGCAAGGCTTCCAATAGACCTTTTTGTGGTAATAGAAATGCTTTATATCTGTGCTGTTACAGTAGCCACTAGTTACTGGAGAGTTGGATTGTGCTAGTGTGGCTGAGAAACTAGGTTTTAAATTTTATTTAAATAGCCACATCTGGCTAGTGGCCACTGGCCTACCATATGGGACAGCACAGATCTCGAGGGCTGGTTAGATTCAGGTTCAGATGTGGTTTTTTGGGCAAGAATAGTTCATAAATGGTGTTGTGACCTTATTGCATCATTTTAGGAGGCATAGTGAGTCCTTTTGATGATGCTGAAGTTAATTAGCAGTAGGTTCAGATGTTGAGAGCCTGATGCTTCTGTGGCAAAGTGTCACGTTGCCCTCTCATTTGAGGTTCTAGTAGCCGCTAGTGATTGTTGCTCGGCTCCCTTATTTTGAAGTGGTGAAACTGACTTTTCTCACTCCTCCCTTTGCTTCTGTACCTGAAGCTCCTTGTGAACAACTGGTTACCTTGAAATAAATTTATACCAGAGAACCAGGAGAAGTGACTGCTTGTCTTTTCAGTTTTCAGTTTTAAATGCCCGAGTTACCTCAAAAGGTGATCAATAAGATTAGTATTGTGGGTTTTATGCATTTGCTTTATGACCAGTTCTTCATGTTGTGCCATCTTTAGCCACTGGAGATCACCGAGTTGGCTTCTGTGTTTTCGTCTTGACCCCTCTCTCTGATTGTTTCCTACTTCTTGGAACAGGCAGGTGTTCCAGGCTCACACTTCCTGCCTAACTCTGGAATCAGTCATGTTCTCAGGAACCCTGATCCTTTTGATAGAAAGTATTATTTGGAAGCCACAGTCTGGATGTTGGAATGTTTGCTCCTACTTTGTTGTTACTGTTTCTGGGTCTTTTTAGTAGGTAGAGCTAGGTAAATCATGAATTCATGGTGATGTTTCAAATACACAGCTATCTAACTTTTGGGTGTTATACTTGTATCTTTTTCTTTTTCTTTCTTTTTTTTTTTTTGGAGTCAGAGTCTCACTGTTACCCAGGCTGGAGTGCAGTGGCACGCTCACAGCCACTGCAGCCGCGACTTGCTGGGCTCTGGCGATCCTTCAGCCTCAGCCTTCCAAGTAGCAGGAACTACAGGCATGCGCCATCATGCCTGGCTAATTTTTTATTGTAGAGATGAGGTCTTGCCAAGTTGCCGGGTTTGGTCTCGAACTCGTGGGCTCAGGCAATCACCTCACCTCGGCCTCCCAAAGTGCTGGGATTATAGGCGTGAGCCACCACGCCCAGCCACTTGTATCTTTTTCTTATGCTGAATATCTTCGTTCTTCAAGTGATATTTTTACTTAAGTAAGTATCACAAAATATATATTTTAAAATAATACAGAATTACTATTAACAATAAGGCTGCTAAGTGCAGTTAGGGACTTATTTTTGTCTTTATCTCAGAATATAAAGTCAAAATACTGTGCTTGACATCTCTTGAGGGCCAAGGTACGGTGCCTCACACCTATAGTCCCAGTTACTTGGGATGTTAAGGTGGGAGGGTCGCTTTAGCCAAGGAGTTTGAGACCAGCCTAGGCAACACAGCGAGACTTTGTCTCTAAAAAATAAAAAAATTTAGCCGGGCATGGTGGTGCATGCCTGTAGTCACAGCTCCTCAGAAGACTGAGGCAGAAGGATGGCCTGAGCCTAGGAGGTCAAGGCTGTCATGTGTCATGATCGTGCCACTGCAGTCCAGCTTGGGAGACAGAAGGAAACCCTGACTCAAAAAAAAAAAGTTACTTTGTGTCATGAGGCCACCAACTTAATGTATGGTTAGGTTTTTTTTGGTATGCTAGTGTTGTGATTGCTTTTATGTATGTGGTTTTATGTAGACAAGAACTGCGAAATTTTTCTTAGGGAGGATCAGTGGAGTTTTTCAGAGGAGAAATGAATCTGGGGCTGGAAGGTAACTCTTGCCTTTCCTTTTTTTTTTTTTTGAGTCAGAGTCTCACTCTGTTGCCCAGGCTGGAGTGCAATGGCACACTTACGGCCATCACAGCCTGGACCTGCAGGGCTCAGGTGATCCTTCTGCCTCAGCCTTCCAAGTAACTGGAACTACAGGTGCGTGCTACCATGCCTGGCTAAGTTTTTTATTTATTGCAGAGATGAGATCTCACCAAGTTGCCCGGGCTGGTCTCGAACCCCTGAGCTCCGTCAGTCCTCTCTCCTTGACCTCCCAAAGTGCTGGGATTACAGGCTTGAGCCACTGTGCCTGGCCTGCCTTTCTGTCTTTAGTGAAACGTGGATCGCATTGCAATTTGACAGCAAAATATTGGGCTTGTATATTCATAAAGGGTGATCACCAGGTACTGGGATTGCAGGCATGAGGCACCGTACTCAGCCCCAGTTTTGATTTTATCTGTTCCCAGCAAGAGTTTGATGCCTGAAAATTTTTCAGTTCAGATAGCTGTGTGTAGATTATCACTTAAACTGATTCTACTAGAATAATTCTAGCCACATGAAAAGAATAATGTTTAATCTGTGCTAACTATTATATTTGTTTTGGGTGTTTTGGGTTGTTTTTTCTATTCAGACTCTCACTCTATCATCCAGGCTGGAGTGCAGTGGCACACTCATGGTCACCGCAGCGTCGACTTTGTGGGGCTCAGCCTTCTAAGTAGCTGGAACTACAGGTGCGCACCACCACACCTGCTAGTTTTTTGGTTTCTTGTAGAAACAAGGTCGCCCCCTGTTGCCCAGGCAGTGCTCTTGCCTCGGCCTCCCAAAGTGCTGAGATGATGGGCATGAGCCACTGCACCTGGCGGTATTTTGTTTTAAAAGGAAACTGGCTTACTGCAACAGATGACTATCTTCTAAGTCATGACCAGTCGGCTGCATGTTTAGACAGAGATGCTGCTCCATTACTAGAGTCAGATAATAAACAGTAAGCCACAAAGGGAGCTGGTGGTGCTTTTTTTCCTTACCGTCTTCTGGTAGTTTGTGAACTACTTTAGGTGGATTCCTTGGTGTAATTTGTCATTTAAAAAATTGTTTTCTGATGCCTACGTATCAGTTTTGTCAGTACATTTAGGAATATTTTGAGGATATAGCATTGTTTGTAAATGCTGGTACTGGGTGCTTTTCTCTCATGGCTTCTCAGTGTGCTAATATGGCCACAATTAAGGTGTTTGATGTTAGAGTATGACTTCTTTAACATGTTGATGCTTGGATAGAGCTATTCTCAAGCTGGAGTCACTGAGACTGAATGGACAAGCGGACCTTCCAGAGGCGGACCTCCTCAGGCATTAACTAGGGACTCCACAAGAGGGTTGCGAAGAACTCCAAGGAAAAGGGTGATGCAGGCTTGTTGCTGAGAGTTGGGTTTTCGGATTGGCAGGGTTTTAGTGGTTACCTTATGTTTATTGTTTCTGTTTTGTTTTCAAACTGACAGGTGGAAACTTCAGAACATTTTCGTATAGATGATGCAGTAATTTCAGAGAGTACTCCCATAGCTGAAACTATAATGGCTTCAAGCAACGACACCTTAGTAAATATGTTTCATAAACTATACAAGTGGTATTCTTTGTAAATTGCCCTTAACTTGGAAGTGGGGAGGTGGTGAATTTTGGCAAATCTCAAATTTACATGTTTTTAAACAATTTTTAAATGATTTTTTTCCCCCACGTAGTTCTGAGTTTTAGAATTTTTCTGTACAGCCAATTTATATGAATTTACTTCATTGTACAGACATCACAAGAAAATATCATAAAGATAATTTTGCTGGAATAGTTAAAGAATAAGGGTTCACATATGAAACCTTGAGTTGTGTTTGTTTCTGGGCCCTGTTGCCTAAGTTTTTATTAACAGAAAATTTCAAATATTTTAGAAATAGAATTTTTGTAAGTGTCTTTGTTATGTTTGGATAATTCTGAGTCTGAATAATTTGAATCTTGGCAGGTTGTCAATAGGGTGACTGGAAATTTCAAGCATGCAGCTCCTATTCTGCCAATCACTGAATTCTCAGACATACCCAGAAGAACACCAAAGAAACCATTGACGAGAGCTGAAGTAAATGAATGAAATTTAGATCGATGCTATCATTGATCTTTCAAAGCGGAAATATTTATATTTGTTTTGTGGAGTGGGAGGGAACAGAGCTTTCTTTATTGGGTGGTGTGTGTAAATATGCCTATATTATTTTAAAGTCACTTTTATTAGTGAAAGTGGAAGTTCACTAATATAGTATGACATGCTTATAGCGTCATTTTGCTGCTTGTGTCACTCTTTCAAGGGGTGGTCATCTCATCTCTGCTGCTTGTAACATGTCTGTCTTGGATGCGGGTTTGAGAGTGCTGCTGGGCTGTGAGGAAGGCTCTGCGGTTTTCTTTTGTTGAAAGTTCAAATAATGGGACTTTAAAGTGACTTTGTGTGATGCTTGAATCGATTAACATATAATTAAGCTTTACAGTACTAACTGCATGGCGCATTATAATGTTAATGGGTGTTTACCAAGGAGATGAAGTATTGATTATTTTGATCTGAGCATAAAGGTAAACACATTCAGCTAAATTAGTCTCCATTTTTTAAATTGGGAAGATTGCATGACTCTGTGGTTTAAAAACATAAACAAAAATTTGCCATAGGGACATGTTAATTGGTTATCTTCTATATTTGATCATTTATTTTATTAGAGATTTCTAACAAAGAAACAATATACTCTTAATGTTTTATTTTGATAAACATGGAAAATCAGTGAGGGAATTAATTAAACATTACCATATTAGGTTACTGAATTTTTGTGTTTTTGTGGTTTTTTTGTTTGTTTGCTTGAATGTGTGAGGATTTTTTTCCCCCTAATAACCATATTGAGATATCTTCCTAATGAAGAAATTAGAAGAGAGCCTTGGAAGCATACGGACACCTAGATGATCATGAATTTAGAAATGTTAGTTGTAAAAGGATAGATTTAAGGGCATTTTGTTCTCTAAAACTTATGTTAAAATGATGTTCTAATTATTGCACATTTATATTAAATTTTAACTTGTGACTGTTTGTTTGTTTCTTACTAGGTGGGAGAAAGAACAGAGGAAAGAAGAGTAGAAAGGGATATTCTTAAGGAAATGTTTCCCTATGAAGCATCTACACCCACAGGAATTAGGTACTGCTGAAGAGCATATTAGTGTGTTCTAGTAGAGAATTTCCATTTTTAATCTCCATCATAAAGTTGTAATACCTCTAAGCTCAGAATCAAGCTCTTCTGGAAGCCAGGCAGAGTGGCATGCACCTTGTGTGCCTGTAGTTCCAGCTACTTGGGAGGCTGAGGTGGGAGGATCTTTTGAGCCCAGGAGTTGAAGACCAGCCTGGGCAACAGAGTGAGGCCCTGTCTCTTAATTAATACATGAATGAATGAGTATATAAATAAGCAAATTGTTATTTGGGGAACAGTTTAATTCCCATAAACCTACCAGTTGTTTATATCCTTGAAAGTTGAATCAGTTTCAAAATTAGCTTTCTTAAGCTAAAGGAATTTACCTGCTATTTAATTCGTATTTCTAAATCTAAATAGAAAGCCAGTAAGAAGACAGTTTTCCCAAGTTTCTTCTCTAATTGAAAAGTCTGTATTTGTATATCGTGACTGTTGGGGTTTTTTTTGAGTTGGTTTGCTCACTCTGTTCCCCAGGCTGGAGTGCAGTGGCATGCTCATGGCCACTGTAGCCTCAACCTGCTGGGCTCAGGTGATCCTTCCTCCTCAGCCTTCCAAGTAGCTGGAACTACAGGCATGTGCTACTACACCCAACTAATTTTTTTTCTTAATTTATTGTAGAGATGAGGTCATGCCAAGTGCCCGGGCTGGTCTCGAACCCATGGGCTCAGGCAATCTTCTCACCTTGGCCTCCCAAAGTGCTGGGATTATAGGTGTGAGCCACTACACCCGGCCTTGTGACTTCTTAAGTGAAAGAATCAACCAAGACCCATGTTATGTTTTCCCTTTCCTTCTAAATACATTGGCTTTGAAAAGCCTTTAAGAATGTAGATTTAGTGAATATTTATCAGAATTTGGAATATTTCCTTTTTTCTTTGTTTCTTTTATTTTCTTGAGTTGGAGTCTCACTCTGTCGCCCAGGCTGGAGTGTGGTGGCACACTTACGGCCACCGCAGCCTCAACCTGCTGGTCTCAGGTGATCCTTCCACTCCAGCCTTCTAAGGAGCTGGAACTATAGGCGTGCACCGCCATGGCCAGCTAATTTTTTTCTTTTTATTTCTTGTAGAGACGAGTTCTTGCCAAGTTGCCCAGGCTGGTCTCGAACCCCCGGGCTCGGGCAGTCCTCTTGCTTCACCCTCCCAAAGTGCTGGAGTTACACATGTGAGCCACTGCACCCGGCTCTGAATATTATTTTCTAATGAGAGAGGCATCTAACTTATAAAATGAAGGAGGTTGACTGACCTCACTGCTTTGTATGTGTCAGGTGTCTACTGTTGCCTTACAGAATGTTCTTGGAATTTGGAATTGCAATGACATTTTATGTTACTTATCTAATTACAGCTTTATCTGAAATTGTCCTTCTCTTCCTCACTTTACTCCCAACAGTGCTAGTTGCCGCAGGCCAATCAAAGGGGCTGCGGGCAGGCCGCTAGAACTCAGTGATTTCCGGATGGAGGCGTCCTTGGCGTCCAAATATACTCCTAAGTATGTTCCCTTGGCAGACATCAAGTCAGAAAAGACAAAAAAGGGACGCTCCATTCCCGTGTGGATAAAAGCTTTGCTGTTTGTTATTGTGGCAGTTTTTTTGTTTTTGGTCTATCAAGCTATGGAAACCAACCAAGGAAATCCCTTCTCTAATTTTCTTCCTGCCGACTCAAGAAAACCCAACTGAAGGCATCTCTTTGGCACATTCAACTTGGTCTCCTTTTTTTAATAACTATTGAAAAACATTTGTGTTCAATTGTTGATTCTAAGAACTAAAAATAATGTGATTTCACCTCAATAAATGTACTATTCCATTGAAAAGCAAACAAAATACATATATGGACTTCATGAAAATGTTTTTGGACTTTGGACTCGTAGGAGATCACTTTGTGCCATATGAATAATCTTTTTTAGCTCTGGAACTTTTTTGTAGGCTTTATTTTTTTAATGTGTACATCTTCATTTTTGGGGAAAAAAAGTGTTTTTTGTGTATTTAGGAAACAAGGGCAAAACGTGGCAGTATAATGTGAAGCTACATAGTTAAATACTTTCAGTTCTTACATAAAAGATTTTAAGAATTCTCTGCTGAATAAAAACTTTACAGACACGTGAAACATGATGAAATTCGCTCAGAGAAAAACTCAGTTGTACTTTTTGCAACTGCAGCAAAGTTTGATGGCGCTTATGAGGAAAAGTACAGCAATAATCTCTTCATTCACTTGTATTAATAGTGATATTATTGTTTTAGTCCTATCATACTTTCTTTAGAAGACTTCTGGAATCAAGAAAGTCCTACTTCAGCAAAACTTATTTAAACACCCGTAGGTCTGGCTGAAGCAACATGTTTCAGAGAACTGTTAGCTGGCTGTATGTGTTTTACAAAGCTATTAGCTAGCTATAAGCTGTAATTGGGAATTTGTACTTTTTAATTTACAGCAGAACATGTATTCTGTCAATCCAGTTTGTTACCAAAATATTTTTAAGATGAGCTGTGTGTGTTTGTTTAGAAGTTAAACATTTTTAAACACTGATCTTATATTCCATTTGGATTCATTATTGCATTGTCTTCTGTTACCAAAAACAAATTTGGCCAAGTGATTTTGCCCTGTATCATTTGATTTAAAAGTATTTCCTCTTAAATTGCTTAATAAGCAGTAGTTGATACTTAAAATTGTATACTTAAGATTGTAAACTCTGAATATGAGGTGGGCATTATTACTTTGTGTTCTCTTGAAATTGTTATCTCTGTGGTAGATTTTTTTTTTAGCTGAAACTTACCTCATAAATAACTTCATTGCATAAAGGAGTAGGTGATTGAAATGTCAGTAGAATCAAGGAAAACACAAATTTTAGATTTATCTGAGTCTCAACTTTAGAGTCACTGACCATAAAGTACACTAAAAATGTGAGTTATTTTGAAACATCATCTGAAGTAGAAAGATCGCTTTTAAAAAGGAAGACACTAAAGACGTATATTTAGACCAGCCCAGCAGACAGTTTTGATTCAAATTAGGCCTGTTCTGGTATTCAGCTTCTAGATATTTTGTAGGCATCTTCATTTCCATTGCAGTTGAGACCAGAAACATCTGTCGGCATGGCCCTGCAGGGCAAGTGGGAAACTTACTCCCAGGCCAGAAATGTTTGCATCTCCGAGTAAAAGTGTTTCTTTGAGATGAGCCACAGAGGGCGCACGTTTTACTCAAGTTTTCCGCGATGAGGTGATAGCAGAGCTGTACGCTCAGTTTTTAAACTTTGTTTCCCATATTGTTTTCAGTCTTTTGTTTATAATTAGAAATTGTGAGGAGCTCCACTTAATGTTTTAAAATGTGAGGAGATAAATCAGATTTAACATGTATGTAAGATCAATTCTCTGGAAGTCTGGTCCAAAATAGCTAAAGTAGGAAATGTAGTCATTTTTTAAAAACATGTACTTGGTCTTTTGTCTGTGTCTGTTTTATTCCTTTTGAGTAACTGTGTCTTTGATGTAAATGCAAAGCATTTCTTCCCGATTAGATTGTAGATGTAGAAACAGTATAATTCAGTAATAAAAAAATTAACTCCTAGTTTTGTCTTTGAAATAAATGATTTTCAGATAGCATAAATAAGATTTCTAGATACCATTACGTGGCATTTGTGGATTCTTGTGTTTTAGTTCTCATTTCAGTCTGCTCATGTGTTTAACTTCTGATCGTTGTGATTGGGGCCTCACTAGTGAGGGAGGCGTCAGGCAAGCAGCGTGCCTTCCGAGCGCTCGCAGAGCGGCCTCAGGAAGCCCTCCGAGACAGCTCCCCCAGGCCGCAGCATCGGGACTAGCACTTGTCGTCCTTGTTTCCTTCCTTCTACCGTCTCCAGGACTGTCTGTGACCTCATGGTTGTCAGTCTCGCCCCGAGACTAGGCAGAAGCGCCCCCCGTGCGACATTCATCAGGGAGCCGCACTTACAGGATGAAGGTGCTGCTGTGTGTCTGTTGCCACGTGTGCGCAGAGGTGCTCTTACTAAGTGGTTCTCCAAGTAACACATTCCCCGTCATTAATTAGCCAGTGGTCAAAGGCTTGAAACAATCGATTATGGCATGCCCGGTGTCTTCTATGCACTTGATACATGTTCATTCTCTTCGTCCTCACGAGAATCCAGTGAAGTGGGCACTTTAGGACTTGGAGTGAGTCTCGTCTTGTTTCGTCTTGAAGTCAGAGCCCTGGTCTTCCAGGCTGGAGGCAGCGGTGAGATCAGCTTGTCGCAACCTTGGACTCTGGGATTTAGAGGCGTGCACCGCCCCCGGGCTCGCTGGTGGTCTTGTTTGGTGTAGCAGACACGGGGTCTTAGGTTGCCCGGGACTGCCCAAGGTGCGAGGATTGCAGGCATGGGCCGCCACACCCAGCCCTAGTTTTTTGTTTTGTTTTGAGTTGGCATCTCACTCTGTCACCCAGGCTGGAGTACAGTGGCACTCTCACAGCCACTGCAGCCTCGACCTGCTGGGCTCTGGCGATCCTTCCACTCAGCCTTCCAAGTCGCCAGGACCACAGGCGCGTGCTGCCACGCCCGGCTAATATTTTGATTTGTGGAGACGAGGTCTCGCCAGGTTGTCCAGGTGGGTCTCGAACCCCCGAGCTCAGGCAATCCTCTCGCCTTGGCCTTCCAAGTGCTGGGATGACAGCCTTGAGCCACTGTCTTCTAATGTTGCCCCGCATTCATTTAAGGGTAAGCCTCTTTTAATTTTGCTTATTCGTTTTCTATTTCTTCATCTGTTTTTCATTTTCCAGGCGACTTTTGGTTTTTGTGTTGGGGTCTCTGTCACCCATGCTGGAGTGCAGTGGCACAATCACTGCTCCTTGACCTCCTGGGCTCTCAAGCAGCTGGTGGGTACTACGTGGCATCATACCCAGCTAATTTCTGCTTTTTTGGTTTTTTTGTGGGTTTTTTTGTAGATACAGGGTATCACTATGTTGCCTAGGCTGGTCTAGAACTCCTGGGTTCAAGCAGCACGTAACTGGCGCCACCCCCTTCGCCCCCCTCCCCGCCTCAGCCTCCCAAGGTGCTGGGATTATAGGAGTGAGCTACCATACCCGTCTTTCGAACAGTTTTTTTATTTTTATTTTTTAATTTTTTTTGAGTTGGAGTCTCACTCTGTCGCCCAGATCAGAGTGCAGTGGCCACTCCCGGTCACCGCAGCCTCGACCTGCCGGGCTCCGGCAATCCTTCCGCCTCAGCCTTCCGAGTAGCAGGAACTACAGGCGCACGCTACCATGCCCGGCTAGTTTTTGATTTATTGTAGAGATGAGGTCTCGCTGCCCAGGCGGGTCTCGAACCCGCGGGCTCAGGCAATCCACTCATCTCAGCCTCCCAAACACTGGGATTACAGGCTGAGCCACCAAGCCCGGCTTCGAACAGTTTTTAAAAAATGTCTTGCTGTCTTGCTCCTCTTCATTGTATTAAGCACTTTTTGAATTCCCTTAGTAATAAATCTCATGGGAAGAGGCTTTAAACACTCATGGTCAATCTGTCACCCCGAGTTTGCACTCTCTAAGAACTTTTTTTATTTTGAAGATGCAGGGTACAGTTCAGGATTAGGTATACAAATGTTCATTATGCAGGTACCCTTGATGAGGTGTGCCCTCCCCTCCCCTGGCAGTTTCCCTCAACTGCCAATCCCTTTCTTATAGTATTGTGATATGATAGTCGCTTAAGATCTGCTTATGCGTGAGAACATATGGTACTCTATTCTTTGCTTCTGTGATAGATCACTGAGGATGATAGGCTCTAAATCCATCCAAACTGCTGCAGAGTCCATACGTTTGTCCTTTTTGGCTGCATAGTATTCCATTGTATATGTACCGTGTTGTTTTAAATCTAGTTCAGCTTCAATGGGCAGTATGGCTGGTTCCATGTTTTTGCTATTGTGAATGGCAAGCTCTAAGAACTACTCAGAATTCATCTACCCTTCTTCACCAAAGATTTGGGAAAGGAAATAGAGGAGCAGATACAGGGTTTTGAGTGCAGGAGGACTCCATGTGATTCTCATGTTTTCCTGATGTGGAATCATTAGTTGAACGGCCAAGGACATTTGTGCTGTATTTACAGTGCGTTTACATTGGTTGAAACATTGCTTTCCAATTGCTGACAACCTGCTTCAACAGACACTGATTCAATGCTTCCTTTGTGCCAAGCATAATGTACAACATTTGCTGGTGCATAGGTGCAGTTTTAGAAATTTCTTTCAATTTGTGTTGAGGCATTCTTGGCGGGGGGTGAAGTCATTTTTTAATGGAAGTATTTGATAATTCCATTAACAGTCATAAACTTATTAGCAGCTTAAGTATTGCTCTTCTTTATCACATTGAGATAAATCAGTAATAACTTTGTAGTTAGAAAAACGCCAAAAATGTGTCCATTTATTTGGAATAAACCAAAGCTGATGATGAAAATTCATCCTGACCAAATGCTTTTACAATACATGCTGACTTTATTGTCCCTTATTTGACACATTGGTCTTGTGATGGTGAATAATTTGAAATGGGAAAGAAGTATAGTGTGTGTGGTTTGCTTGCCCAAGTCATAGAAGTTGCAGTTTATTGTATATCACGATCTGGGAGAAGAAATACGTTGTGTATTACTGTGTAGCAAGTCACCTCAGACCTGGCAGTCTACAGTCATTATTGCGGTTTCTCTGGGCCATAAGTCAAGGAGCAGATTCCGGGGGTGGTTCTGGCTTAAGATCTCATGACTGCAGTTGAACTGGGAGCCGGACTGCAGGATCATCGGAAAGATCACTTGGGTCACCGTCTGCTTCCATGCCCACAGGGCATTTGGCAGGCCGTGGCTCTATACTGGCTGTTGGCTTGAGACACGTGGCCTGAGTGGCCTCAGGACATAGCTGGCTTCTCAAGTTAACCCAAGGTTGATAACACAGCCTTTGCATGACCCCGTCACGGAAGTGACAGGCCTTCCCTTTTGCCGTATCTCTTGGCCGCACTGGTCAAGGCTGGTTCGAGTGGAGAAGACCAGAGTATAAGAGTATTCTTCAGGAGGCAGGGACTGCTGGGCTCCTTCTGTAGCCTGGCTACCACATCTCCTCATCGGAAGGGCTGGCTAGCATTGGAAGCTAATAAATATTGCTGTAAAATTCACAGGTTTTTTTGGAGTATTACTTTGATCAGTTTGTTATTCAAAAGAATTGGTTGCCTGTAAATCTGAACAAACAGCAATGAGAGAATTAGGCTACGGTTATCTTTCAGAGGTAAAGTCAACAGACTTGAAAAATTAGACATGGACAGAGAGGGATAAGTTAAAAAATAACCTAGAGGGTTTTTACTTGACATAGTGAAAGGTAATGCCAGTCACTGGAGATTCTAGAGGAAGACGAAATTTGGAGGACAGATAGACTGGAGAACTAATTCAAAATACGCTGAGTTTTCAGTCCCTGCGAGGGTTCTGGGAGCCAAACAGTGCTTGGCACGTGGGAGTCACGCAGATGAATCTAGGTCGAGGTCAGTTTTCGGCAGTCGGGTAACTGTCAAGCATAGGAGAGAAGTTAGGAATACCTGGGGGTCGTTAACTCATTAGATGTATTCAAAGTGCTGGGAATGTATAGGTTACCCACCAAGCTTTTGGAGAGTCAGAAAGTGCTAGGGATGACTATCAGGATTTAAGGAGAGGTAATGAGCAGGAGAGTGCAGTGTCGTTGGAAAGAGCATTTAGGATGAGTGCTCCGCCGTGTATGCTGCTGAGTAAAATGTGGACGGAAAACTGATGGTCAGAATTTACAACCCGGTGACTGGTGAGAATCATTTGTGTTACGGCAAGGGAGAAAATTACTTATGTGAAACAGGCTTTCTGTTAGATGATTTTGTCCAACTGAAGGCCAGTGCAACTATTCTGGGCATGTTTAAGGTAGGCTAGGATAAGCTGTAGGTTAGGTGTAGGTATTGAATGCCCCCCCCCGAACACAAGCCTTTAGCAGCTATTTGTGCATTTTCATCTTAAAACACTTTCAGGCCGGGCTCAGTGGCTCAGCCTATAATCCCAGCACTTTGGGAGGCCAAAGCGAGATTGCCTGAGCCCGCAGGTTTGAGACCAGCCTGGGCAACTTGGTGGGACCTCGTCTCTACGATAGAAATTTTTAAAAAATAGCCAGGCATGGTAGCATGCGTCTGTAGTTCAGGGCTACTCAGAAGGCTGAGGCAGAAGGATGGCCGGAGCCCAGCAGGTTGACGCTGGGGTGATGGAGTGAGACTTCACCCCAAAAAAAAGGTTTTCAGTTTATGATGAGTTTATCGGGGCATATGTCCCATTATAAGCCAAGAAGCATCTGTGCATGTAACAGCAAGAATGGGCCCAACAGACATAATGTTGAACGGAACAGGCCTGGAACAAAGGAGTGCATGAATCCGTTCAAAATCTCTAAAGTAGAAAAACAGGCAAAAATATTCTCTGGTGATAGAAGCCAGAATAGTTAATACTCTTAACTGAATATGAGGGAGACTTGCAGAGTAATAGAAATGTTTATATTTTGATCTAGGTGGTGGATAACGTGGGCAGAGATATATGTAAAAGTCCATAGGTATAC